TACCGGGGAGCTATTAGGTGGTTTTACATGGGAACAAGTGACACTTGAACTGTGGGAAAGCATTTTCTCCTTCTTCCTTTAGACTTCTGGCTGAGTCAAGCTCCTAGACTGTTCTGTCAAACATCTAGTCTTAGTCCTAAATTGAAGGGAAATGGAATGAAAATGGGTCAAGACATCCAGATTCATGCCAGCAAGTGCAATACGCTTCTGTGTATGGGGGCAGGTTGATCTTCTTGTACTGGGTACATGTCTGTGCACATTACCTTCACCTAATTCCCAGGGAATAAGTAGAAGTCACAATGACAGAAGTGTACCTGGACGAGATATAAATGTAAATGACACTTTATATTAAAAAGCAGCAGTAGCCTTTATATTGTATTTATATGTGTATATACATTATACAATATATACTGCACAAACAGATTTTGCCTGTACTTATAGTAATGTGGGGGAGGAATTTTGGGATTAGTTTTTCAATTCACAGACACATGACAGACTGTATTAAGAGCATCAAATGAAATTTCAATTTTATTGTCAGTTAAGTTTCATGTGCTATGGGTCATGTTCTAAAAATTGCTCTCCCTAAATTGACTAGGGCTTTTAGTGGTTGAGTAAACTTAATATCATGTTAAATCGAAACACACTTGTACTTTTGATAATTGAGTTACCTTCACATTTATAAAACTGCTTTGTAGTCCTCAAAATGAAAAATATTGTATGATTTAATTGCCATTAAACCTACATTTGTGGACCTCTGAGGGAGTTGAACAGGTGTTATAGAAAAGCACATTTCCCTTTATACAGCTTCAGTATCAACTCCAGATATCCTACCAATATTTTATTTTTCTGTAATAGGGATATTTAAAATGTATAATTTCTTTACAATCACCATATGAAGATTTAACATCATCAAAAACAGTTCTGTTTTACTTTATTGGACTAATCCCTTAAATATTACTTTTTTTCCCCAAGAAGTAAGATTAGGGATTTGGGGTATGTGAAATTACTCTGGGTAGGATCTAAAGGTGGCTAACATTGAGATCCCTCTTAACTTAATCATTTTCTGAAAGAAATGTCACCAAATAATGTCAATGAACATTTATTTGCCTAGAGATGAGATAAAAGGGAAAGAGCCACCGTCTTCCACCGTCTAGAAAGCATCATTATGGTGCTTGCGTGGGTTTTGCTGCTGTGGTTAACTATCAGTCCCCGTGCCCATTATAAACCTCCTGAGCTTAGAGCTCAGCTGTAAAAATGTATTCTACAAGAGAAACCTGGCATGTTCAAACAGAGGGAGAACAGAAAGAAGGATGCCAATATAATTGACAAAGTAGACTACCTCTTGCCCAGTGATCCTCAGATCCTGATGGGCAGAATGAACACTTTCTCTTCCAATTTTGGATTTCCATCCCCTCCCCTCTCCACACTCAAGGACCCAGCCTTACTCTAATTGGTGTGAAAACTACTGTGGCTTTTAGTGGGTGACTCCATTAGGAGGTATGTTTTTATATTAAGAAATCACATTATATCAAATGCTATCATATAAAAAAGCATATTATATCATATGCTATCATATAAAAAAGCATATTATATCATATGCCATTATTAATTCATTCCAGAAACCACTATATAAGCTTTGTCATATTAAGAACACTAATTTTTAAAAAGCTTCCAGACTACAACCAGGATCCTTGCCAAGCAAACCATGAGCATGTCTAGGATACCACTCAGCACTCTTTATTTTAGAATATTAAATCTTAAAGTTGAAAAGCACTGGATTATATACTGTAAGAGGAACAAAGATATTCTGCAGGAGCTTTTAGTCAGGCAAAATATTTTTACCTACTCTTGTTTGAGTATTTGCAAACTCTAAAAATGTCCCTTTGGAAAGATGCATGACTTTTGCAGACCTTGTGACAGGCTATATAAAGTGACAGATTACATAAAAAGACAGATTTCTTAGTTCACCAGTGAAGAATCACTGTAATAAAAATACTTTCCCTCCATCCGCCATCATTTTCTAAGCAAAAATGTAAGACATAATGAGTTTAATTGGTCAATACTACAAATATTTCAGGGCACACAATAAATTTAAGGAAGTATATTCATAAATGTCTTCAATTTCCAATACAAAGCATTTAAAAAAACATTTAAATGAAAATGAATGTTGCTTCTTAAAATGTAAAATTAGGTGTTGAAAAGGTCAAGTACCTAAAATATAGAGTCTATTATAATTAAATCTGATTAATTTGAATTATTCTGTTATAAAAGGATATTAATTAGAGATGCAGAGAAAAAAGAAATTCTTAGATAATTTATTACAATTCTATTTGAAATTATATTTATCAGACACAGTCCTTAATTACAATAATTAAAAGTTAGCTAAAATGTTTAATGTTCCAACTTTTATTTATTAGAAGATTTGAATATTATCTAATTACTGATTGGGTTAATTACTGCATAAGTTCTGTACTGCATAAAATCTGAATTTGCTAAAAACTGAATTACTTTTTATTTAATAGACATTTTCTGGAAAATGTGAAATGAAAAATAAATACTATTGAAAAAAAAAATCCATACCTGATTTTTAAGTAATCAATGATGGCATTGGCTTGTTTTACATCAAAGATATTCCATTCCTCGCTTTTTTGTGAATGTGTTGGTCCTATTTCAGCCATAACTTCCCCAAGCCATTTTATGTTGTCCTTTAAAGACATACGTAGTGCTGAAATAAAATACACGGAAGTCTTAAGCACTATTTTGATAGATGTTTTAGGAACAAAATAATCCAAGATGTCCCTAATGTTCCAAAATTTACTTTGTTAGGTATTTGTGAAAATAAATGGTAAAACTTTTCCTGTTTCTTCATAATAAATTAATAAAAAAGAATAAAAGAATAGCAGTTGACAC